TAAAGTATTAACTTGGTAATCGTAAAAATTTAAAACATTTCAAACACTTTTATTTATCATAATAATATTTTTCATAATATAAACAGTACGGAGTTTTCAATATTGCAGAAGCCTTACCAAATCATAATTACAACATAATTTATTATGTTCTCTAATTCAAAACCATCACATCCATTCCGACAATCTCGCCTCCGTCTGCCTCCAGGATCACGTCACTTCATCCTTTCTATTAACCTGCGTGTAGCAAATAAAACATACTACACGCTCAGCGTTGAAGCTGAGTAAGCATATCTAATGCGTCGAACATCCATATAAACTGAATCTAAATTCATAATCAAATCATTTGATATCATGCACATAATGTTCAGTTCAGATATTTAATAATCATTAGTCAGTATTCATCATTCATTATTCAACATTTATATTCATATTCGACGTTCATCGGTTATACATAATATTCACAATATTCAATTCGATAATCATCATTCAATATTCATTAATATTCAATGGTCATCTGTCATTCATAGTAATCACAATATTCAATTCAATAATCATCATTTAATATTCATTCATATTCAACATTCGACAATATCCTTAAACTATTCTTAGTCTAAGGCCAATCATTTTAATGTTTATCAACCCTTAAATGAATTCTAGTTTAAATAATTAAATTATATTCCAGTATAAAGTACTCCTAAATAATCCTTAAGCTAGGCCTAGTTTAAGATAAAAGGGTTTTGAAAATCTTAAACTTATCTTCACTTAAGGCCAACCAAAAACCGACAACGTAGTGTTCACTGTTGGGTGGGTGGTACCCCCAAACGAGTAGGTACTCAAGTTTGGTTCTTGGATCCCGTACGTACGTTTTAACCCTAGCCACTGGGATTCATACCCGCAAGGCCTAACTTAAATAGGTATATCTTAGAGGTCTTCTAGATACCTTTCAAATCAACATTAATATAGGTATATCTTAGAGGTCTTCTAGATACCCTTAACAATATATTATTTCACAATCATCAATGTATTCATTATGATTTAATCATTCACAATTATCATTTTTAATCAGAATATTTATTAAGATTTAATCATCATAATCATTAATCAATAATCATTACCATAATCATCAATCAACATAATATTCAATAACAATTAGCGGCCTAGCTTCGAGTGTTAACACCCTAACTTACCGTCATTCATCACATAACATTTTATTTGTTAAAAATATTACTTTTAATGTGAAAAATCATTTTTATAATGATCA